GTTTTCTATGATAATCTATTTTCGGAAAGTTGGTTATCTAAGAAACTTTCGCGGAAAGTAGATATTTCCCATTTTTTATGATACAAATTTCCCGTTTTCTATGATAATCTATTTTCGGCAAATTTGGTTATCTAACAACTTTCCCGGAAAGTAGATATTTCCCATTTTTATGATACAAATTTCCGTTTTCTATGATAATCTACTTAAAATTAGGTAATATTTCCACAATACGAAAATCTACTTTCCCAAAAAGTCGATAATCTACTTTCCGAAAATTAGAAAATCATCTTCTTTTCGGGAAGTAGATAACACTTTCGGAAAGTAGATATTTCCCATTTTTATGATACAAATTTCCCGTTTTCTATGATAATCTATTTTCGGGAAAGTGGTTATCAAAATTTCGAAGTAGATATTTCCCATTTTTATGACACAATTTCCCGTTTTCTATGATAATCTATTTTCGGCAAATTTGGTTATCTAACCAACTTTCCCGGAAAGTAGATATTTCCCATTTTTATGATACAAATTTCCCGTTTTCTATGATAATCTCTTCCCAAAATTAGGTAATATTTCCCCGAAAATACGAAATCTACTTTCCCAAAGTCGATAATCTACTTTCCCGAAAATTAGAAAATCTATCTACTTTTCGGGGAAGTAGATTAACTTTCCCGGAAAGTAGATATTTCCCATTTTATGATACAAATTTCTCGTTTTCTATGATAATCTATTTTCGGGAAGTTGTCTAACAAACTTTCGCGGAAAGTAGATATTTCCCATTTTTTATGATACAAATTTCCCGTTTTCTATGATAATCTATTTTCGGCAAATTTGGTTATCTAACCAACTTTCCGGAAAGTAGATATTCCCATTTTATGATACAAATTTCCCGTTTTCTGATAATCTACTTCCCAAAATTAGGTAATATTTCCCGAAAATACGAAAATCTACTTTCCAAAAAGTCGATAATCTACTTTCCCGAAAATAAGAAATCTATCGACTTTCGGGAGTAGATAACAACTTTCCCGGAAAGTAGATATTTCCCATTTTATGATACAAATTTCTCGTTTTCTATGATAATCTATGAAGTCGATGTTTCCCATTTTCTATGATAATCTATTTTCGGGAAGTTGGTTATCTAAAAGCTTTCGCGGAAAGTAGATATTTCCCATTTTTTATGATACAAATTTCCCGTTTTCTATGATAATCTATTTTCGGCAAATTTGATTTATCTAACCAACTTTCCCGGAAAGTAGATATTTCCCATTTTTATGATACAAATTTCCGTTTCTATGATAATCTACTTCCCAAAATTAGGTAATATTTCACGAAAATACGAAAATCTACTTTCCCCAAAAGTCGATAAT